CCCGCTTTCTTCCGAGTCCGAAGTGTGGATGTCCGCAGGGCTGCCTACCTGCTCTAACATCCCACCTTCGTCGCCAATTGTTAGATCGCGCTAACAAAGGACTCGTAGAGTGATTCAGCAAGTGATTCAGCTTTATTGGAAGTAACGAACAAGCACTCAACTCTGTAAGAAACCAGAACAGAACAGTGGGAGCTATGCTCCTTTTAAACATAACCGGGCTAATGTAGCCACGCCTATTTACAAATAACAACCAATGAGATTGCTAAGTTAAGAACCAATGGGAGTCTTTCCCTCGCAGGGAAAGGCACAGTTCTGATTGGTCGCTGTTGCAGAGCGACCAATAGGAAGTTCGTTCGGAGGAGCCCTGGTTTGGCTCGAAGCTTAACATGGGAGTCCTATGAGGTGATTCATGTAATCGTTCCAATACATTACAGTCCCTGGGCAAGTCCGGAGATGCCCGGCCTTGTCAGGGCTGGATACACTACACCCTCCTTCCCTCCCTGGGAAAACTTTGCACTGCTCTGGCTACTGGGCTGAACCAGGCCCAGTTGCACAGTGGGAACTCACACAGACTTGTGGAGGACACTTCATTTTCCCCTGTACACCCCCCCCTTTCTTATTTTCCTCCTCTTAGCAGGCCCCATAACCTCACCTTTTCTTTCTTCCTTATTCCTCCCACCGACCCACTATTTATCTGCCCCTCATATTTTATATTTTTTAATTTACTTCATCTATACCCCACATTTCTCCACAATGGGAACCCAAAGCAGTTTACATAATTCCCCTATCCTCCATTTTATCCTCAAAACAACCCTGTGAGGGAGGTCAGTCTCAAAATGTGTGACTTGCCAAAGGGCACCCACTGAGCACTGTGACTACTGCTAAATACCTGCAAGCAGCCTGGCCTGCTAGTGGTTACTGCTGGGACTGGGGTTGCCAGGTGGTTTCAAGAAAGTACTGGACACACACAATAAAAATGTATCAACACCCCCCCTGCACATGCAAAATGGGGAGTGTATTGATGACATTTTACATTACATCTTATTTCCCCCCTTATTAATCCATTACAGTTCACAACCAACCATTGCAACATAGATATATAAAACATTGCCAGTGCCAATAAAACATTACAAATGAACAAATACAAATATAACTGAGCCTAATTTTCACCATACTGGAGCTTTTTACTAGACAAGAATATGATATTTTTTGTGAGATAAATTGATTAAGAATAAGCAGGTGTTATTATCCAATGTCCAGCGGGGTCTTGGGCCAGCCGCCGTCTCAACATAACCTGGGTTCTTGAGAGGACAAAACGGAGGAGAGGAGAACTATGTAAGGTGATTTGATCCCAGTTAGGAAGAAAGGGTATAAACGAAGTAAATGACAGATGGTGCTTGGCAGCTCCTACTGCAGAAGCTGAGGGGAAGAAGAGGAGGGATGCGGAAACCTGCCAAACTTCTGCTTTGCTCCCTGCTGCAGTCTCCCCCCCACACTCACATCCCTCCCTTCCCAGCTCTGTGCCGCCCGCCTGCAATTTAAGGACCACTTTATTATGGATAAGATACCTGATGCCATTGTCAGTGTGAATCTTCCCCATAAGAAATCGAATCTTCATTTGAAATGGTTTCCTTTTCTGGAGTATATGTTTAATGCTGAGTCATCTAAATTCAAGGTTCCCAAAAAGTATGATGAAGTATTTTACCATATGTAAACTGCATTGCATTTCTTGCTTGTTAATGTATTGACCAAGTTTTGTTCCAATGCTGATATATGTATTGACTGTTTATTACTGTTTAAAATAACAATTTAAATTTGAAAAAAAAAAGATTTATTTGGGCCAGCAAAAAAAAGAAAGAAAATACTTCTTTGGGCCAGCAGTCCCGTCTCCATGCCCGCCCATCTCCAGTCTGACTGCTCCAGAGCCGGCCTGGCCAGGAGCCACCACTGCACTGACCTCTCGGGGCTCCCCTGGCTCTGGCCATGCCTGCCTGGGTTGTGGCCATTCCACAGCTGCCGCAGTGGCTGCTTCATGCTGCTTGGGCTTGGCGATGCCTCCTCCAAGCCCTTGCTTCTGTT